TGTCAGGAAGGAAAGATTTTGGGATCTGGGACAAAGGGATCTGGGGGTTTTGGTTGACAGCAAGCTGAACATGAGCCAGCAGTGTGCCTTGGCGGCCAGGAGGGCCAACTGTATCCTGGGATGCATCAAGCAGGGCATTGCTAGTCAGTCAAGGGAAGTGATTGTCCCGCTCCACTCTGTGCTGGTGCGGCCTTACCTTGAGTACTGTGTGCAGTTAGGGGCACCACAGTATTAAAAAGATATAAAACTATTAGAGACTGTCCAAAGGAGGGCTACGAAAGTGGTGAGGGTAAAATGTATGAGGAACAGCTGAAGTCACTTGGATTGTTCAGCCTGGAGAAGAGAAGACTGAGGGGAGACCTCATCACGGTCTAGAGCTTCCTCACGAGGAGGAGCAGAGGGGCAGGTGCTGATCTCTTCTCTCTGGTGACCAGTGACAGGTACCCAAGGGAATGACATGAAGCTGCAACAGGGAAGGTTCAGGCTGGATATCAGAAAAAGGTTCTTCACTGAGAGGGTGGTCAGGCATTGGAACAGGCTCCCCAGGGAAGTGGTCACAGCACTGAGCCTGCCGGAGTTCAAGAAGCGTTTGGACAACACTCTCAGACACATAATCTGATTTTATTTTTGGAAGGGAAGTCCTTTGGGGACCCAGGAGTTGGACTTGATGATACTTGTGGGTCCCTTCCAACACAGATATTCTATGATTCTAACAATTTAATTGATCTTACAAGAAGCTCTCTTTCTGTGGAATCTTCCTACCCTCCAGCAGATTGACATTTCCCCCCAACTTGGTATCGTCTGCAATATGTTTGCGTCAGCAACCTAAACCTCCCAAAACAGTTTGTAATTCCTTTGTGTTAGAGGGACTCTGCCCCTGTTCTGTTTGTTTTTTGTTGTTTTTTTTTTTTTTTCTACAGTGTCTGGAGGAAGAGAAGATGTTCCTTTAATCCACCAGACTCCCAAGAATTTAACTTCCTTGTCACTGACACTTTGAATCTGGAATTTCCAATCCCAGTTCAATTATTGTTTTCTGAATGTTTTCCATTGTGTCTCTTGCACTTTCTCGTCTCTGTCCCTCGATCAATATATTGATATATTGTAATGTCAGGTGAAACAGGAATTTCTGCTAAGACTTTCGCCAAAACATCGTGAGCAATCATAGGGAAATGTTTATATCCTTGTGCAAGCCTGTTAAAAGTCTCCTGGATCCCCCTCCACATAAAAGCAAACTGCACTTTATCCTGCTCAAGGAGAGGAATCATGAAAAACACATCTTTAACATCTAAAGCAGCCATCCAGGAATGAGCAGCTCCCTGTATCAGTGTCACTATTTCTGCAGTGTTTGGGACTGCAGCAGTTAAAGGCACATTATTAGCATTTAGCTGTCGATAATCAACTGTGAAATGCTATCATCAGATGCAGCGACCATGAGATGGTGGAGTTCAAGATGGTACTTGGTGGAAGAAGTAAGGCTAAAAGCAGGATTGCAACCCTGGACTTCTGAAGAGCCATCTTCGACCTCTTCCAGGACCTGCTTGGGAGTATCTCATGGGCTAGGTTGCTAGAAGGCAAGGGTGCTTGTGAGAGCTGGGCTACATTTAAACAGCACTTCTTCCAAGCTCAGGATCGGTGCATCCCTAAGAGCAGGAAATCGGGGAAGGGGGGCAGGAAACCTGCATGGATGAGCAAGGAGCTCATCGATAAGATCAAAAGGAAGAGGAAGGTTTATGAAATGTGGGAAAAGGGCCTTTTCTCTTGGGAGGAGTATAGATGTGTTGTGAGGGCCTGCAGGGACACGACAAGGAAGGCTAAAGCCCACCTAGAGATGAGGCTTGCAAAAGAGATAAAAGATAATAAGAAAGCTTTGTGTTTTGTTTTTTTTTTTAAGTATGTAAACAGTAAAAGGAAGACTAGGGGTAATGTGGGCCCCTTGCTGAACGAGGGGGGTGTCCTGGTAATGGGAGATGCTGAGAAGGCGGAGATACTGAATGCTTTCTTTGCTTCAGTCTTTGGTTCAAGGACTCCCCCCCGGGACTCCTCGACCCTGGAGGGAGCAGAAAGAGTCTGGGAAGTGGAGATCTCCCCCCTTGTTGACAAGGGAGTGGTTCGGGAGCATCTGAGTGGGCTCAATGCACACAAATCCATGGGTCCTGATGGGATGCATCCATGTGTGCTAGGGGAGTTGGCAGACGTGACTGCTGAACCGCTCTCTATCATTGAAAGGTCCTGGAGAACAGGAGAGGTGCCTGAAGACTGGAGGATAGCCAATGTCACTCCGGTCTTCAAAAAGGGCAAGGAGGATCTGGGAAACTACAGGCCAGTCAGTCTCACCTCTGTCCCTGGAAAGGTGTTGGAACAGCTGGTTCTGGATGCCACCTCCAAGCAATTGGAAGAGAAGAAGGTTATGAGGAGTAGTCAGCATGGATTCACCAAGGGGAAGTCGTGCTCGACCAACCTCGTTGCCTTCTATGATGGCATCACCAGCTGGATAGATGAGGGGAGAGCAGTGGATGTCATCTACCTTGACTTTAGCAAGGCTTTCGATACTGTCTCCCATGACAGCCTGCTAGCAAAGCTGAGAAAGTGCGGGATAGACGAGTGGATGGTAAGGTGGGTTGAGAACTGGCTGACTGGCTGAGCTCAGAGGGTAGTGATCAGCGGCACAGAGTCTGTCTGGAGACCTGTGACTAGTGGGGTGTTCCCCGGGGGTCGGTGCTGGGTCCAGTCTTGTTCAACATCTTCATCGACGACCTTGATGAGGGAATAGTGTCTGCCCTCAGCAAGTATGAGAAATACTTTCAGAAAAGTGCAGATTAAATATATTTTAAGTAGCTATATAGTTGCAACTCTTACAAGATAAATAGTACTTATTTTCAGGACTGGCTGATAGAGCTGGGCCTGTTTAGCCTGGAAAAGAGAAGACTGAGGTATCAATGTATATCGATATCTCATCAATGTATATAAATATCTGAGGGGAGGATGTTGCGAGGATGGAGCCGGTCTGTTTTCAGTTGTGTCCAGCGACAGGACAAGAGGCAACAGGCACAAAATGAAGCACAGGAGGTTTCAGCTGAATATGAGAGGGCACTTCTTTACTGTGTAGGTGACAGCACTGGAACAGGTTGCCCAGAGAAGTTGTGGAGTCTTCTTCTCTGGAGATATTCAAAACCTACCTGGATGCCTTCCTGCGCATTGTGCTCTAGGTGATCCTGCTAGGCCAGGAGTTGAACTAGATGATCTTCATACGTCCCTTCCAACCTCAACGATTCTGTGATTTATAATATTAATATGCATTATTTATCTTGTAAATAAGATGCCTGTGACACCTGCTCCCCTACCTCCCCAGCCCCCCATCAAGCATGCCCACCCTGCCCACACTCAGCCCCCATCGCTGTCCGCCTGCACCTCTCACTTGCAGCATCTGCACTGCGGTGCCTCACTAGATCTACTTTCCCTTTAGGCAGCAGTACAGTACCGAGCAAATTCCTACTTTTTTCCTCAAGTTGGGATGAACTGAGAGCCACCCTACTCTCCCTACAGAACTATGCACGTATTTACTGCTTCACACTTTGGTAGTCCAAAAGGCTCACACAGTTGTTCTCAGCTTTGAAATCATAATGAAGCCAGGGATAGAAGAATGGGGGCTTGTTTAATCGCATTAAAAAAGATGTTGCTGAGTGTCTTTGCTTACTACTGTAATAAATATTGTATAAGTTTGTTAATCAAACCAGTGGGAAAGCTTGTGGGGCCTGTGACAACCCTGTATAGCTGAAAAGTTTCCAGCTGCCTATCCTGATAAGAACCTGTAATAAATTTTGGGGAAGCTTGTGGGGGCTGTGACAACCCTGTATAGTTGGAAAGTTTCCAGCTGACCATCCTGATAAGAACATGTATAGTGCTTGCTCAGCAAGATCGCAACCCGCAATGCAGAGGAAGACTACGGCCTTCATCCTCACGACCACCGGGAGGTCCGAGACGACCCCCTAGCAACAGTACGCGCAACCGCAGGACATACCAGGATATGCCATGTACACCCGGAACAACCAAGCTATAAAAGGGGGACTCTGGCGGGGGTGAGGTGCGCGCCGTTGGTGGAGCGGAGACTCCCCAGCCGCCCAGCACTGTTTTGCCTGCTTGAATGCTTGCTTAATAAATTTGGCTCTGATAAAGATTATTCTGAGAGTGGTTTTGTTCCGACCACTTATTACACTACTGTGCAAATTAACCAAAACAAGGAGTCTCGGGGCCCCTCACAGAGGATGTTTCCGAACAAAAATGGGGAACCTGTCTCAAAAACCAGCTGAGACCAACCTTGTGGTTTGGACAAGAGCCAAGGAGCAGCTGAGTCTGGACAAAGGCAGGAGGTCAACTACTGATGATGAAGAGGAGTTATCAGCCTTCATCCCCACGACCCTTTGCCGACCACCACCAGAAGGCACTGCGCGAGCGCAGATGGGAGGAGTTTATGGAAATGACTTCTTGGAGCTAATTTTAATACAAAGCAGGGATAGGTTATGCAAATGTATAAGCGTATTGGGAAACTTCATGCATATGTAACTCTTTATTGCACATAACCAAAGTAAGTAGCCACGTTAGGGTGTACATGCCTTGGGGAGCTATCCCGCATGCACCCGGCGCTGAAATAAACCACATATCTACTTTGTAACTCATTTGCTTTGAGTTGTAGAGCTCTTCCACGAATCAATAACTCTAGGGGAAGAGAAAAATTTGGCACGATCCAGAGAAATCCACCTTTTTCCATTTGCTTGTCGTGGAATTATGTTTTTTGTTTGTTTGATTTTTTCTCCTGATGGTTGTGAGGAAAATTCCTTATACTTCTCTCTGTTCCCTGCATCCCTCACAACCTCCAGGAAAGAACAGAAATCCCCTCTTACGGCGCATCCCACAAGCTGCCCGCATGCGCCGTGCGCCTTAGTGAACACGCAGGTGCAGCCCGCCCATCTGCTCTTTTTTGTCGCTAGCTAGCTCCCTTTCTATTTACTTCCTTTCCCCACCTATGCGTGAGCTCGCTGGTTCTCGAAGGGGGTGGGGTGATTATGAAGCTACGCTCTTGAAGGAGCTGTTCCCCTCGCGGCCACAGGGGGAAGAGGCAGCAGGACTGATGCCTCGTGGAGCTGCCCTGAACGCTCAGACTGATATTGTTTGGAGGCCGTCTCTGTCGGGGAAATGTTCTCCTTGTCCCCGGCTCTGCTCCCCGCAGACGTGGGGGGAGTCTGAGCTCCTTTGTCGCCACCTCCCTAGCGAGTGTTGGCGGCGGCGGGTGGGGGTGGGGTGGGGTGTGTGTTAGGAGGGGGCGAGGCTCAACATGATGGCGGCCGAGGGCGAAGAGGACGTCTCGGTTACCTCCGTCAGGATGATAGGAACCGTTGGCAGAGCTGAGCTGGGGAACTGCCCCACTCTATGGAAGAGCAAGGAACTGGGGTCTCAGAGCCACTTCCTGATGGGCTCTGGTGAAGACAGCTCGGGCACCGGCGGTCCGGCTTTGTGCTCGGCGCTAGGGCTTTTGGCGCTGGGCTCAGGGTCTGCCCCTCTGGCGTCCGCAGGTGGTGGTTCCGTGACACCGACTGGCCAGGGACTGGAGGTGTCTGGAGGGGCACTGCCCGAGCCCCTTCCGGACACCGTCGCCTTTTCTCTGCTGCCATTACAGCCGTCTTCCTTGGCGGGGGGGTTGGGAACTGTGGACGAAGGCGACTCGCTGGATGGGCCGGAATACGAAGAGGAGGAGGTGGCCATCCCGCTCAACGCTCCCCCCACGAACCAGTGAGTAGTAACGTTCCGTTGCCCCGTCGGGCGCCTGCCACGCCTGGGCTCTTCCCCCCGGGGGGCGGGGGGGAGGGGAAGCAGCAGCAAGCTCGGCGTCGGGCCCCATTTTTTTCCGCTGGATAGTGCGTGTCAAACTCCCGTGCAAGTCCCGCAAAAGTTTTGCCCCTTCCTTCCCCCCCCCTCCCCCCGCTCTGATTCCGCTTAAGTAGGAATTTAGACGGGAAAGTTCCGTGCGTAGGAAGTGCTAAACCTTGGGATGGCTTTAAGACTTACTTCCTTGTTTCGGGTGAATCCGTGGCTTGGTCCGGCTTCATTTCAGAATTCAGTTTGACTCACGTATGCAGAAGACTCCACGGAAAGTCAGTCCTGCTTACTCGTACTTGCCACTTTGAAGCGTGTCTCATCCATCTTTTGTCCTGTTGTGCTGTTTTATGACTGGCAGTGGGTGAATGCGAGTGTAATATGTGTGTCTGTATATCTCTAGGAATTATTGCCTGCCTTTTTTTTTTTAACAGTAAGCTAGAGCATTAGTGACGTGAAATGTCTGAGATTTAAAGATGGTACTCTACAACTAACTGGGGTCAGCTCCTGTGAAGATTGATCTGCACGAGTTAACTTTTTCAGCTTTTAATATTAATAAACAAAATGCCAAAAAGGAATGAGCTGTTCCAGATATGATTCGATTATCTGTTGAACTTACTGGGGAGACTTATCCAATATCTAGAAGCAGAGTAATCTTTCTCAGAAGAGTAATAAATGTTATTTTTTAAAAGTGAAACTGTGTATAACATTTTAATTACTTTTAAAAGGTTGCTTATACTGTGTAATCATTTTATGTTGCAAGCTTTTGACTAAAAAAAAAAAGTTTAAACTCCAAAAAAGTGTAACTTTCCCATTTCAGATAAAAACATGATTAATGTAACTTTTTTTAAAAAAAAATCAGGCAGTCCTGAAACACAAATTTGAAAGGGATGTAACTATTTCTGTATTTTAAAATATTAGTAGAGAGGTTATTTTTGTAAATAATGCCTTACTTAGGCTGCTTTGCTGCTCAGCCAGCTTCTTAAAAGTTGTTCTTAATTAAGTTATGTTTGGAGAGAAGAGTCAATTGGGGGGAAAAAAAAATAAATTTTCATTAGGATAAGTATAATAAAAATCTTTTCGTTAATTGGCATTCCTACAGTGCTGGTATTATAAAGAACCTTGCACTAGAGGCAGAGCAGTTCTGTGTTTATATTTTGTGAAATAAAAAATCAGAAACTGTTATTTAGAGTTGATGTAACTAGTGAGTACTTGAAACATAATTTTTGGATTTAACAACAAATTAAATTTAGGAATCTTGCACGTTTTACATAAAAATGTTGCAAGACTTGTATTAGAGCAAGAAAATAGCCCTCAAGCAACTACCTTACCATCTCCAAAGTAAAACATTGGTATCTATGAATATATTATTTCTGAAGTTTTAGTAAGTATAGTGGATAATTTAGGGTTTCAAGATTTCAGGTTTTATTTTCACATTCTCTTGTAACTCCAATGTTGAGTTTAATTTTTGCATTATTTCAGGTATTTCCAAGATTTCAGAAGCCATTGTAGTTTTAAGGAGGACATAAACTGTAATATTAAATAATTGCTTTAAACATACATGCCCCCTCTAATCTTCAAAGACTTCTTACTAAACCTTTCTTCTTTTTGTTTCTTGACTTTTGCTAGACATTTCTGAAGAATAAGATGTCATTTTGTGAAGACAGCATTTGAATAGTCTTTAACTTGTACATTTCCATGAAGAGCTAGAAATATAATCAGGCAGTTTAGACAAAGGATGAGGGTAATAGAAGCATGTAAAGGTGAAGTTACTTCTTTGTATCTCACTGACTTGATATACAATAGAATTCTGGTATTCTGAAAAAAATCTGATATTTTACTGTTAGAAGTGGTTATGTTTCTCAGACAAAGTAGGTTTTTTTGGAAATATTTTTAGAAAGTGGGGTAATTATGATCACCTCTTTGACACAATAATTGTACTACTTTCACAAATGTGAGTAGACTTTGCTGTCAGAATGTTGTCTTAACTCAGCTGATAGCATGAAAGCTAATGTTTATGAAAGGATACAGAATTTTTGACAAGTACATTCTAGGGGGAAGACTGCAAAGGCCCTGATTTCTTGTATTAGTCGATGAGGCTACTTATCTTGTGTGGGCTTCCTGTAGGCTGATGTTCTTCAAGTTCAACAAGTGCAAGGTCCTGCATCTGGGCTGGGGCACTCCCAAGCCCAAATACAGACTGGGTAGAGAATGGATTGAAAGCAGCTCTGATGAGAAGAACCTGAGGGTGTTGTTTGATGAGAAGCTCAGCATGAGCCAGCAAGATGTGTTTGCAGGCCAGAAAGCCAACTGTATCCTGGGCTGCATCAAAAGAAGTGTGGCCAGCAGGTCAAGGGAGGGTGATTGTGCCCATCTACTCTGTTCTTGTGAGACTCCACCTGGAGTGTTGTGTTCAGCTCTGGGGTTCCCAGCACAAGGATATGGATGTATTAGAAGGAGTCCAGAGGAGGGCTACAAAGATGACCAGAGGGCTGGGGCACCTCTCCTATGAAGACAGGCTGAGGGAATTGGGGTTATTCAGCCTGGAGAAGAGAAGGCTCTGGGGAGACCTTATTGCAGCCTTTGAGTACCTAAAGTGGGTCTACAGGAAAGCTGGGGAAGGACTCTTTATCAGGGAGCATAGTGATAGGACAAGGAGTAGTGGCTTTAAACTAAAAGAGGGTACGTTTAAATTAGATGTTAGGAAGAAGTTCTTTACTATGTGGGTGGTGAGGCACTGGAACAACTTTTCCCAGAGAAACTGTGGATGCCCCATCCCTGGAAGTGTTTAAGGCCAGGTTGGATGGGGCTTTGAGCAACCTGGTCTAGTGGGAGGTTTCCTTGCCCATGGCAGGGGGATTGGAACTAGATGATCTTTAAGGTCCTTTCTAACCCAAGTTACTCTATTATATTTATTAAGATTAAAAGGGGTATTGAAGTCTTTGCAGGACCAGCATAATTGTGTTTTTTCTTCTGGATACTTTAACATTAAAAATACTTGAACAGTAAATATATTTAAAAAAAAACAACAACAACAACAAAAAAAAAAAACAAACAAACTTATACTTCCATCTGCCTATTTTTCATCATTGTTTATCCTTGTTTTATTACTTAAAGTTAAATTGGGTAATTAAATGTAGGCATGAAACATCAAAAAGCTTTTTAGTTTATACAGTCTTTTACCTTTTTTTTTTTAAAAATTGGCCATGTATTGATAGTGAATTGTATACTTTCCATCCTGCCATTTTCTTTTGTAAGTGTCCTTTCTTTGAAGTCATACCATCTGCTTTTATTAAATTGAACTCTTCATTACCAAAACAATCATCTGTCACCTTAAAATTATAAGCAAGCACCTAATTTCCTCTTTTCTTTTACAAGTTTTGGTGGTTTCACAGTGATGGCTAGCTAAACAGGGAATGGGGTTGTGGTCAGTCCATAATGCTCTGTCATCTGCTGTTCTGTCTTTGTGTTCTTCCCCTGCTCCAGCATGGGATCCCTCCCATGGGATGCAGTCTTTACCAGAATGATCCTACATGGGCTTCCCGCAGGCTGCAGTTCTTCAAGAACTGCTCCAATGTGGGTCCCCTATGGGTGATATCTCCTGACAGATCACCTGTGTGTGCGTGGGCTCTTCTCCACAGGTTGCAGTTCTGGCCCGTAGTCTGTTTTTGCATGGGCTCTCCATGGGCTGCAGCATGGATATCTGCTCCTCTGTGGTACCCATTGGGCTGCAGAGGAGATGGCCTGTTCCACCATGCTCCTCTCCGTGGGCTGCAGGGGAATTTCGGCTTTGGTGCCTGGAGCACCTCCTCCCCTTCCTTCACTGACCTTGGTGTCTGCAGGGTTGTTTCTACATTTGTCTATGTTTTCTCACTCCTCTGTCCCAGCTGCCACATAAGCACAGTGCAGACTTCTGTTTGTGTTTGCTTTTCATCATAGAATATCTGAGTTGGAAGGGACCCACAAAGATCAATGAGTCCAACTCCTGGGTCCCCAAAGGACCACCCATAAACAAATATCAGATCGTATGTCTGAGAGCGTTGTCCAAGTACTTCTTGAACTCTGCCAGGAGTGAAAAACCTTTTCCTGATATCCAGCCTGGACTTCCCCTGTTGCAGCTTCAAGCTGTTCTCTTGGGTCCTAAATAGGATTTTAGGAACTTTTAATAGGCTGCGTTGGGTTTGGGTAAGACTCTTTTGACTATGGTGTAGTAGTAGTAACTGATCTTATTTAGTTTAGGTGCAGGCCTTGCTGCTGAGATCTCTGTGATTGTTGTTTGAGAAACAGGTTATTACAACTCACTTCACAATTCATGTTTATCCAGCCTGAATTGAAGCTTGAATAGGCTTAAAATACAACAGTTGAGTCAGATCAGTTACTTCTGTTTCTGTTCACTTACTGAAAATGCACAAATTGAGGAGGAAAGAAAAAGCTGGTCATATAGAACCTTTGGATGGTCCAGAGTGCTTTCGCCAAGTGTGAGTTATTTGGGAAAGTAGGTTATCTGAAAACCTGTGGACTGTTTAAAATAATTAAGATTCTGTATATTGGAAATGATTAATTCCAGAGAGATTACACCTGATAACTTTATTTGAAACAGTCTTGGAATTGCATCAATTTCAAATGATAACTTCAATTATTTTCAGAGGTCTGTTTTGTGAGAATGAACAGAAGCTTTAAGGACACCCATTGTTACATTTGTTTTTTAGGTGGTATCATGGAAAACTTGACAGAGCAATTGCTGAAGAACGTCTTTGGCAAGCAGGAAAACCTGGAACTTACCTTATTCGAGAGAGTGATCGGAGACCGGGTTCATTTGTGCTTTCGTTCCTTAGTAAAACAAATGTAAATCATTTCAGGTGAGAACTATTATTTTTTTTATTTTAAAACACTGTAACTTGTTTGTGATTTTAGAACTTAATACAGTACAGAAAACAGTTGTATTATAAATTAAATATTTTGACTTTTTATTCATGTACCATATAGCTCTTCACTTGGGTTTGTTTTTAAATTGTGATGCTTAAAATCTACTTTATAGGCTAAAGAATGAAAATGTCATTGGAATAGAGAAGCTTGTCTCAAACTGTTATGGCTAAACTTACAGTAATATGGAGTCATTCGTGGAGATGGTTTTGAGTCTATTCCTCAGTCACTGCAGTTTACAGGGAATACTTGAATGTTGAAGTTGTAGTAAATCTGTGTGCTTCCTTTTTAAGAAAAATAACAAGGAGAAACAAAGAGGTTATGTATTTAACAATCTGAGGTTTTGGTGGAATCAGCTTTCCAGTATGTGTTAATTGAGTTGTTCTAAATATAAGTAGTCCTTTATACAAAATTGTAACTAGGATTATTTTTCCATTGTTAAGTTGTATGCTTTAATTTATTCTCATTTATCATCAATAAGATGTGTTCTGGGAAGCTCTTGAATGTTAGACAGCGTGTAGTGTGCTGCAATGTAATGTTTATCTTTTATCTTCACAAAATAGGAAATCAGATGCATTTTTAGTAGTTTAAAAGAAAAAAAGGCACAGAAAACAAACAAGGAAACAAACAAAACCGATAGCTGTCAGCTATTTAGATAACAGGAAATAAAAGGAAAGCAAATTTACTTGCAGACCAAATAGAAATAGCATACTCACGTTTGCTTCATACTATCTGAGCTAAGAAGTATACTTTTCAGCTATACTGATTTACTGATTCTTATTTGGGAATCGGTTATTATGTAGCAGTAGTAGAAAATAAAAAGCAAGAATTAACACAGTTTTAAAATAATCAGACACTAAAAAAAATAATAATTTCTGCTCATTGTGGCTAAAACCAGGCATTGAATATTGGTTCATGTCCACTATGCAGTTGTTTCTGACATCTCAGATAGAACATACCCTTTAATGGCTTCCCACTCTCTAGGAAAATGATTCTAATATTTTCAAATATTACAGAAAATTTCCTTCTTGGATCCATTACATATGTGAAGAGGTAGCTATTCAAATGAAATTAATTTCTTTGATACTGTTCTTTACAGAATAGACATGCTTTTTGGTTTCATTTGTTGACTGCAGAGTGTATATTTTTGTTATTAGAAGGCAGGTGCTACACTCAAACGTTGTCAGCTTCAAGAATGGCAGTCTTGAAATTGTTTCAAGTAAATGTAGGGATGCATCCACTGGGTCTCAGACTAGAAATGTCATTTTCCCCAAAGCTGGTTCTTTGACAACTGCCTTCCAAAAATGGGTGAGATTTCCATTGCTCAATAATATTGCTAATAGTTCGTTTCCGAAAAGTGATATTTTTCAGAATAAACTTCTCTTATGTATTTGTGTGACTAAAATGCTAACTTTTTAAGTGAAAGCTCTCTAAATTGCCCCCCAGTTGGATACAAATGTATACTTAGTGCAGCATATGACTGATAGATAGTGTATGAGTCCATGAAAACTAAAATTCTCTGTGGATGTAGTAGTATGCTTTTAGTGAGTTGCAGAGTGATATAAAATATTAGGAAGGAAAACTTTTCATCTTGTCCTTCAGAATTTTCTGTGTTTACAGAAATCATGTTTACTAGTCCCACACATTCTGAAGAAAAGCTTAAATTAAGCTTGTTTAATAATAAAATCTGAAATACTAAATTTCATTTAGAAGCCTAATCTCTGAATAATTTACCTTGTCTTTTATAAGGAATCTGGCAGAAAATATGCCAAGTGTTTTATCTAAGTTACTTTTCCAGATAGCTCTTAATATTCTTAAAGAAGTGCTGGAACTGAGTATTGTTTTCCAGATTCTGAATGGCTGGAAAAGTTCGCATCCTGTTGATGCTGTCAGTTTACATAACTGGTTGTTTCTTTGGATTGTTTGGTCAAAAATACTAGCTGTTTCAACTTAAGTACTCCTCCCCCTTGTAGAAATGATTATTGTGTCATGTGAATGTTTTTAAAAATCATTTTTACCTAAATCAATTATTTCTGACTGTTTTTAGAACTTTTAATGCATAGCAATATGAACAGACATAATTTGCATTTTTGGTACAAGTGCATTCATGAATCTGTATACTTAAAAGCAAAAAGTAGTGAGGTGAGCAGTTCTGTAAGAATTTAGTGTTAAACAATGTTTTGTAGGCTTTTTTTCCTATTAATGAGCTTTTAAACTCAGTAATTATGATCAAGTTGTTATTTTTAGTATGTCTACTAGACTAACTGTAGAAAAGTGACTAATTCTTCGAGGTATTTCTGTATAATTAAATGCAGTTATTTGTTGTTATACAGTTAGATATACTATATGCAGTTATTTTTTACTATATTGATACTTTGGCCAAATGTATACAGGCCTGTCATATAAGCTGTATGTTGTGCATGGCAGAAGTATTAACGCTGTTACCTCTACTAATGTATGTCATTTGTTCAGGATGCTGGTAATTGCTTCTCTGTTTAATTTAACTTAGTTCTGGCAAATTTGCTTGCTTTTTTGTGAATCTATGCCTCCTTTATGGTCTTTGAAGACTTTTATCATGTGATATTTATCAGCAATTTCTGATTATCTAATGTTTATTTAAAGGGTGTGCATAATATTGCATTTTATTGAATGTAGACTGCTTTAAAAACTCACCATTATCCTAATTTCCTTTTTTAAAAATCCACAGACAGAAAAAAAAAAACATACAAAAAAAAAAAAGAAATGCCCAACAATTTGTAGCAAAAGATTTTCTTCTGTCAAGTTTCCTTTTTCCATATTAACAGAATTATTGCCATGTGTGGAGACTATTACATTGGTGGACGTCGCTTTGCTTCACTCTCGGACCTAATTGGTTATTACAGTCATGTGTCTTGTTTGCTGAAGGGGGAAAAACTGTTCTTTCCAGTAGCACCTCCAGAGGCAAGTAGTAAAAATTTTAAGTGTTTACTTGAATGTTAGTATCACTTATCTTGCATTTGATATTCATAATTTTATGCGGGGGGAAAAAAAGCATTGTAGAAAGCTTGTCCAAGTTCTAGAGTTGTCTCAGTGTATCGTGAAGTATAACAAATATATAAACGCATTCTTACTGATACAAAATAATTATGAAAAAATTGCTTTATAATGAAAGTCTAATGACAAAGCTAGATATCTGGTACTTTAGTTATCTCCAAATGTAATTATAGTGTTGTGTGTAAACTCAGATAAACAAGAAAATGTGCAATTTTTGGCTAGTAAAGAGCACTGTTGTAATGTAGTTAACCTCTACACTGGGTTTTACACCAACTTAATAGAGTATTTCAAAATAATTTCCATTTTGTGATATTCTTGATGAGGCAACCAGCTCTGATGCCAGCACAATCCTCAGTGTGGAGCTGGGGGATCATGGTGTACAGGGTGTGTGTGTGTGTTCCAGAAATCCCAGGGGAGTGACAGAAACTCTTGTGAGATTGGCTGATGAGGCATGGGCAGGGCTAGGAGCAATGGTGAGAGATTTAAATGTGGTGTAACTGTAACTAGCAGTCATTTGCTGGGGTGAATGGCTCCAGTGCCAGCAAGATCTGCAGTAGAGCAGGGGATGGGGGGGGGGTGACTTCAGGAAATCCCAGCTGAGTGTAGAAACCTGCCAGGAACCAGCAGCTCTTGTTAGAGTGGCTGATGAGGCTTGGGTGAGGCCAAGAGCAAAGGCAGCCAAATGCTACTCACATAAAAGGCAGCCCTAGGGAGCACTAGTGACCAGGTCAGAGTGTAGCACTCAAGGCAGGGCACAGGAGTGTGTGCAGGGAGGGTACAGTCACTACCAGTTCAAACAGCAGTTCTAACCAGCTCACAAGGAGATCCAGTCATGGTATCCACCTAGCAGAAAGCCATGTTCTTTGTGTTCCCTGTGGCCTCTCCAGCCACAGGAACAACTGACACAGCTACCCAGACAGAGCTCCCAAGGGAACATGCAGCTATCTAGATCTCAGGCTGAAGGTGTGCCCAAATTTTCTGTTAGCATCTAATGGCAGCAGTGAGCTTCTACCTGGGTGCACCTCCTGTAGGAGGTGCACCCAGGTAGAAGAACTGCTCAGTCTGGTGACAGAGCTTCAGGAAGAGGTGGGCAGGCTGAGGAGCGTTAGCAAGTCTGAGAAGGAGATTGGTGGAATTGTTGTGGTGGTTTTACCTTGCTAGGCAGCTGAACTCTACCACAATCACTCTCTCACTCCCCTTCCTCAAAAGAAGGGGGGGGGAAGAAAGTACTATGGAAAGAAAAAGGCTCACAGGTTGAGATAAGGATAATTTAATTCAAGGAAAAAGAAAGAGGGGAGGGGGTAAAAAAAAAAAAAGCAACGGCTGCATGGAAGCAGGGGGGGGAAATATTCTTTACTTCCCATCAAAAAGTGATGTTCAGCCACATCTGGGGAAACAGGGTCTCAGTATGCGTAGCAGTTTTTTGGGAGGACAGATGTCTTCATAACAAGAGGACCTTCCCCCTTCTCATTTCCCTTTACCACCTTTTATTGCTGAGTGTGACATGATATGGTATGGAGCATCTCTTTGGTTTAGGTCAGCTGCCCTGGTGATGTCCCCCCCCCCCCCTTTTTTTTTTTTTTATACTGATGTCACCTTTTGCCCACCCCCAGCATACTGGCTCTTGGGGGGGCTTGGAGGGAGTCTTGATCCTGTGCCAGTATTGTTCAGCAATAAACACAACACTGGTATAATACCAATGCTGTTCCAGCTACAAGTACAGAGCACAGCACTGTATGGGCTGCTGCAGGGAAAGTTAACATCCCAGCCAGACCCAGTACAATCATACTCTATCATCCCTGGAACAGATGCTTCAGCCAGCCACAACATAAGAAATGAAGTATCCCCTACTCTCTCCCACCATGCAGAAGGAGGGCAATTAAGAGATGGGCGAATGGAAGGAGGCTTCTGCTTCACAGCAGGTGAATCCCCTCCCTGCCTACCTCACCTTACCAGGTACCCTTGTACAACAGGTATGAGGCTCCGGAACTTGATGGACAGGCAAATGATGATGTGACCAAAGGTCCACCTAGGTTAGAGGGGTCACCTAGGGCAAGTCAGCCTACCCCATGGGTCAAGACCACTTCTGTCAAGGGGAAAAAAAGAAAGGCAATTGTCGTTGGTGACTCCATTCTGAGGAGAACAGAGGGCCTGATATGCTGATCAGACCCAACCTGCTGGGAAGTCTGCTGCTTCCCAAGGACCTGGGTAAAAGATGTTACTAGAAAACTCACTAGCCCGGTATAGCCCTTTGATTATTATCTGTATTGGGTTTACATGGCAAGGTTTTGGTAGCAGGGGGGCTGCCAGGGTGGTCTCTGTAATAAGAGTCCAGAAGCTGCCCCATGTTAGATAAGGACCAGTTTCAGCCGGCTCCACAAGGGACCTGTCACTGGCCAGAGCTGAGCTAATAAGCAAGGTTGTTTGTGCCTCTGAGAGCATATTTAAGAAAGGGGAAGAAGAAACTGCTGGGCAACAGCAGCTGGGTAAGTGAGGAGTGAGAACCAGCCTTGCAGACAAGAAGGTCAGTGAAGAAGGAGGGGGGAAGAGGTGCTCCAGGTGCCAGAGCAGAAGTTCCCCTGTGGCCTGTGGAGAGGACCATGGTGAAGCAGGTTGTCCCCCTGCTGCCCATGGTGTATCACAGTGGAGGAGATTTCCACACTGTAGTCCATGGAGGAACCCACAGTGGAGCAGGTGGACCTGCCATGAAGGAGGCTGCGGCCTGTAGACAACCCCTGCTGGAACGGATTCCAGGTCAGACCTGTAGGCCGTGGAGAGGAAACTACTCAGGAGCAGGTGACCTGGCTGAAGCTGCCGCCTGTGGGGGACCAGTGTTGGAACAGTGTGCTCCTGATGGATGGACCCTGTGGTACGAACCTGTATTTGGAGCAGTTCTTGAAGAGCTGCTGCCTGTGGGAAACCCATGCAGGATCAGTTTGGGAAGGACTGTATCCCATGAGAAGGACCCCACATTGGAGCAGGGGAAGAGAGTGACTGAAGGAGTGGCAGTGACGAAGTGTTATGGCCTGACCCCATTTCAATGATATTGAAAGGAATAGGCAGACCCAGCTAATTAATATGCAGCTCCAAGGCTGGTGTTACCAGCAGAATTTTGTGTTTCTTGATCATGGGATGGTCTACACAATACGAGGCCTGCTGGTGCCTGATGGGGCACACCTCTCTCAAGGGGGGAACAGGGTTTTTGGTCAAGAGTTAGCAGAGCTGATTTCTAGAGCTTTAAACTAGATTTAAAGGGGGAAAGGGATAAAATCGGGCTTGCGAGTGTTTAAGGGACTGTGTGCTAGTGAGGTCCTTCAGTCTTCTCCATGAGGTGGCAGGTACAGTGAAGCACATTGGAAATGTTTCTATGCCAATGCATGAGGAACAAGCAAGAGGGGCTAGAAGCCTTGAGTCAGTCCCAGAGCTATGGCATCATTGGCATAAGTGAGACTTGGTGGGAAGAGTCCTGTGATTGGTGTGTTATGGTAAAATGTTGTAGATAGGTAGGGCAGGTGAGGTGGGGTGATGGTGCTTTATATAATGGGGTAGGCTGAACTGTATGGAGCTTGCAGTTGGTGACAATGCAGTTGAAAGCCTCTGGGTAAGGATTAAGGGACAAGCAAATAAAGTGGATTTTGTTGTGGGAGTCCAGTGTAGATCATCCAGCCAACAATGGTGACACCAATGAATTATTTAAGGAACTAAGAGGTATTTTAGGGTATAATTGTATGTGAGTGTACAGTCGGCTCTAATCTAGTTCTAATTTGAGGGGGATGTACTGTTTTATAGCTCAAGTCAATAGTTAACAACAATACAAAGAACATAAGTGTTGTGGAGAAATGGGAAATGATGGAAGGAATCCATAAGGCTGACTGTAGATGATGAAGTCAAAGTAATGAAGCCATACAAAGGGCAAGCTATTAGTTAAAGGTCCAAATATGAGCTCTTCTGGAATTCTGTTCATGGTCCTCAATAACAAAGACAGCTTTGCTAAACCTCAAGCAAGTATTGAAGAGGGCTGCTAAAATAATGGGGACTTTGTGGCTTTAGGAGTAGGCATGGGTTACTAGCTTTAAGGTTGAAATGCTTAATCAGCGTTAAAATATTTTTTTAGGCTCTTGTCTGTTCATGGAATACTTCTAAATACTAGCTCCTGGGAATAAAGATCTCAAGTTTTGTGGGTTTTGTTTTCCTTTTTTTTTTTTTTAATTTCTTTATGATATGTTTGCAGAAGAAAAATCTTGGACTCAATCCAAGAGGTTTTCTGGGATCAGCCAGCATTATCTCTGGGTAAGGATTAAGGGAGAAGCAAATAAAGCTGTTGTGGGAGTCCACTACAGGCCACTCAGCCAGGATGACAACAACGAAGGATTATTCTTTAAGGAACTAAGAGATATCTCTAGATCAGCTGTCCTTGTCCTTATGGGTGACTTCAACTTCCCAGACATTAACTGAGAATACCAGAAAGCTGATACAAACAGGTCCAGGAAATTCATAAAACATAGTGATAAGTTCTTGGTACAGGTACTAAGGGAGCCAGCTAAGAAAGATGCCCTCCTAGATGGGTTTGTAAACAGAGAGGGTCTTGTGAGTGAAGTGGCAATGGGCAGCCCTCTTGGCCATCATGACCATGAAGTAGTCAAATATGAAATCTTTGGTGATAGGAGGTAAAGCTGCCAGCAAAATTTGAACCATGGATATGGGGAGAGCAGACTTCAGGCTGCTTAGGGAACTAGTTGGTGAGGTCCTCTGGAAAATGGCTTTTGAAGGTGTTGGGGTCAATCAGTGCTAGTTGCTTTTTAAATACCACGTCTTAAGAGCACAGGAATAGATTTCCAAGTGTCAGAAGTCAAGTGGTCACTCAGGACAGGCTGAGTAGGATTTCTGGATGCCAGCACCAGCTTAGC